GTCAATATCTAACTCGTATGAAACTATAGACTTAGTATTTTGACTTCACAAACACATAATTTGAACCAGTGCTGCATTCAACATACCACTTGACACACAAAAATTTATGTTTATCAGTGTTTTTTTAATATTTGCTTTTAAATTAAGAAATTGAGTAATATGTAGTACTAAAATTTGAATTATAATGTACAGTTTTATACCAAACTTATTGACATAAATTCATGAAATAATAGTTCAATAAATTTTTGAATGCAAATCAACAAATGAGATGACATGGCCTTTCACCCGTGACCCGTCTCAAAAGGGTTAACCCTTCCATTACAGGCAGGATGGAATCCACCCTGCTCTTGACCACAAATGACCACATATGAGAGTAATTATACTATAATTTTTTCTAATGTACGTATATCATCAGAAATCTTCGCAGTTATTGGTAAACATTACAAGACTTTCGTATACAAAATATCAGGTTTTTAAATTAAGTATCAAAATTTTTTAATTAAAGATTTTTTCTTTCAGAATTTTAACTATCAAACATGCAAAGTAATTTTGATTTTAAGATTAAAAATACTTTTCTTCATCTGAAGGTTGTCAATTTTTGTTTGCATAATTCCTATATCTTTCTGAATAACCATCAAACTTTTTTGAATTAAATTTTATAGTTTATCTGTTATTTTATCAACTTTAAACCTATATGGTGTCAGTAACCATCATAAAAATTAGGAAATAAATTGAAATTATCCTTTCTTTTGTTCTAGAATGACTGCAAATTGTGACAGGAAACTCCAAATATTGATGCGAAATAGCTTAATTCTCGTAACAATATATATATCTATTTATATTTATTAATTTTTTTTATTGAACTTTGAACCATGTCTGACTAGAAATACCATGACACAATTTAAAAATTATGCAGCGCACGTGTAAGTCACATTACCCTATCAAATAGCGTAATACACAAGCTTCCTGCTAGTATACCCTATGAAGATTTTTATTATTTCCCTTTCATTATCTTACCTAATAAGAAAACAAATAAAAAATAAATAACCTCGTAATTAAATATCAAACACTCTTGTCATTAAAACTTTATATTTTATCTGTTATTTCCTCTACTGTAACATTATACTTGATTCTCCAGGTTGTATAACAAAAATAAAGGTTGCAATGTGCAAAATAAGATGTATAGTATTATCATATTGATCACAAAGTTTCAAAGAGTTTATACTTCTCACCTTTTTACACTTATATTCTGTGGTAATTTTATTGTTAGGAGCTGACTTAGAAACTAGATGAAATGAAATGAATAGCATTGTCTGTCTGTTATCAGTGTGGAACACTAAGCTCTAAAGTAAATTTCCTTAAAGTTTCTTCTAATCTTTTCACACCTATTTCCCATGTTTATCTACTGTTAGCGGCTGAAGTAGAAACCTACTGAATATAAAGCAATGAATCATCGCTCCTTACTTAGTTTGACACCGTCAAATAAGCTCATGTGGCACAGTTCGTAGAACTTTCCCTGGTTTGAAAACATAATGGGTAGGATTTACCAACACGCTGACAATATAATGGTTTCAATTTAGACAATTGTCTAAACACTAAAGTGTTATAAAATGTTTATGTTATGACTTTGTAGACAGTCCATGGGCCGATCCAATAAGTCGGTAAACAGATGTATCCTATAGAAACTATTCGAATTCCAGCTTCAAGAACACAGTATGGTAGAATTTGCCGGCTTCTTTACAGTACAGTAGTTGCAACAAGAATTGTCTAAAGTACTTTATAAAAGTGAAAGAAAATATTTATGATATGGATCTGTACAAAGTTGCATCCGACCCAATAAACTTAATTTATTTAGATGCCAGTTATCTTCCTGGGTGGTCAGGATTTAGTGTTGGTATATGTGTGTAAGTGCTTATATAACATTCTGTTTCCTATATTAACATGCTTACATAGTAACCAATAAATGTGTAGTTTCCAGTAATATAAATATGGATCATTTTGATTGGGCTAGTATTCTTGGCTTAGCCTTCTTGATTCTAACTTTAAATACAAATTATTTGCAAGCGAACTGCAAGTTCAACCGGGTGTTTTAAATAAATACTTAAATATCAGTTATTTTACTTCAAACATAGTACAATAAATAAAAAAGTATTCAGAAAACAATGATTTCTATTACTTATGATGCTACGAAGTCCTTGTTTGCACTCATGAACCATACTTGCTAAGCCTCATCAAAATTCACATGTGGAGATGAAAAAAATAATAATATTTGTATATTTTATATAAGCATTTTGGAATACAAAAATATATAAATTACAATACTGATACCCCAAAAATCTATTGTAATTTATCAGGCTTCATAACTAAATTGTATTTGGGTGTAAAAAAATATAATTTCTATTCACAAAATGGTTTTGGTCGTAATACTTCAAACTTTCCAATAATATAAGAGCTTTTCTCCCATAGATAACTAAGGAAGACTGAAAGAATTATGTAAAAGAAATGTATAATTTTTGATTGGTTATAAAACTATTGGTATATGAAAGTAGACATAGATAACTAAGGAAGACTGAAAGAATTATGTATAATTTTTGATTGGTTATAAAGCTATTGGTATATGAAAGTAGACATAGATAACTAAGGAAGACTGAAAGAATTATGTAAAAGAAATGTATAATTTTTGATTGGTTATAAAACTATTGGTATATAAAAGTAGACATAGATAAACAAGTCTTCTCAAATGATGAAGTGGTGAGCAAAGCCAATATGGTGGGTTCACTAAATATCATGATATGTCAACAAATGGAAAATGTAGGAGGTTCTTATTTTATATTCTAGCTTGCCAATATTGAACATTTGAGTCTCTAATTTGTATGAAACTATACATGTTGTATTGTGGGCATCATAAAATGTAATCTGACCAAACCCAGAAGATGATGTACCAGTGTGACACAAAAAAATTGATATTTAGCCTTTCTTTAATATTTACTTTCAAATAAAGAAACTAACTAATGTATAATACTGAAATTTGAATTATTTACATACACGTATAACATGAGTGTTGAATGTAAGTCTACAAATGTGATGACATGCCCTCTGACCCCTACCCATCTCGATAGGGTTAAGTAGATGAAATTCTCATATCAAAGTGAAAAGTATATGTGATGTAGAAAAAGATAAACAAGCTCTTATTTTAAAAAGTTATAGTTTATCAGTGATCTAGAATGAATTTTGTATTTCATGTTAAACGTCTTTTTTTCACATAATATTTTCAAATAGCCAAACCAAAAGTGCTGAAAGGATTGAAGGACATTGATGTTCTGGAGGAAGAAAATGTGCACCTGACAGTGAAAATTAGTGGGTCTCCAACTCCTAATATTAAATGGTACATTATTATAAAAATATTGGTACTAATTGTTTTAGATTTAGATTTTTCATCCATGTTTTTATGGATTTTGGTATAATTTTTATGCACAGCCTTTATCCATTTTGATAAGTTGTTGAAAGCTGTTCAGCTTATTCTTCTAATGTCTTATATTTCTGATATATGGCACCTATATAGTTCTTATTTGGCAAAAAAATATTCCATGACCAGATAATTGTTGCAGTTTTTATCAACTGTCATCAGCCTAGCAAGATTGATGGTAGGAAGTTTCATCCAGTAGAAGTTTACATTGTTAATGAAGTTTAAAGTAGGTATTTAGTGGAATTTGTTAATTGATTAATTGTTGTACTCATTAATCGGTTATATTCAACTAATCCATTATTATCATATGAGACTTGGACTAAACTGAACAACTTTGAACTAATCAACAATAACAATTAAAAATCATAATGGTAGTATTTTTGTTAATTGTGTATTTGAAATAATTGAAACTGATTATCACTAATTTCAATTAGTCAGTTACTTTCATAGCAATAATGTATTTTACTATAATTTGGATTAATCGATTATTTTACATTATATTTATTATTGTAATTGATTTATTGTTTTAATTGACCATCTCTAGTGAAGTTTCTCTACCTTTAGATTATAAAACTTGATGATGACATTCCTTAATAAGAGCCGATAAACCTCAAGTTTATACATCACTGATTCCTCTAAGAAATAGTGTGGAACTATATGTAGGAAAATACATCACTGATTCCTCTAAGAAATAGTGTAGAACTATATGTATGAAAATACATCACTGATTCCTCTAAGAAATAGTGTGGAACTATATGTATGAAAATACATCACTGATTCGTCTAAGAAATAGTGTAGACCATAAACAAGTAAAATAAGTATTTATGAAACAGATAATAGTTATCTAGATAAGATGTGTGATAATTATATACTATCTCAGATTTTTTCTTATAAACAAGTGTGCTGTGTAAAGTTTTAAAACAGTATGCTATTAGATATTTACTTCTCTAATACCAGTCTTTTTTTCTCTAGCGATAATATACTAAGTTTTGTATTAATATTTTTGGCAAAATAACAAAAGACAGCTTTTGAAATAGAAATAAAGGTTACATAAATTTATTAAAAAGAAACTCATCAGTCTTAAGAGTCTAAGAATTCATACTGATAAAAACGAGTACATAATGTGAGGTATCACAGTAGACAACCAAACCATTCTCAACAAACTGATTACCTTTTCATACATATAGTTCTACACTATTTCTTAGAGGAATCAGTGATGTATTTTCATACATATAGTTCTACA